TAATGATGAATTATTGTAGATAATTGTCAGTCATAAAATATATAAAATAATTGTAAAAGATATAAATGATAAATGATAGAATCAGATTGTTGAAGTATGGTAATAGAACGATGATAAATTATTTACTGGTTTTCTATTGGGTATTTCACTTCAATCTGATTCTCTAGGGGGCGCCAGTGTTATTTCACTCAGAACGTGTCATTTATCATTGTTATTGACACAGACTCTTCAAAGGGACATAATCCTCTAATTATTGTTGGAAATCAGAGAGCAAGATCGATCTGAAAACCATGACAAGATCAGTCTGAAAACCATGACAAGATCAGTCTGAAAACCATGACAAGATCAGTCTGAAAACCATGGCAAGATCAATCTGAAAACCATGACAAGATCAGTCTGAAAACCATGACAAGATCAGTCTGAAAACCATGGCAAGATCGATCTGAAAACCATGGCAAGATCAGTCTGAAAACCATGGCAAGATCGATCTGAAAACCATGGCAAGATCGATCTGAAAACCATGACAAGATCAGTCTGAAAACCATGGCAAGATCGCTCTGAAAACCATGGCAAGATCGATCTGAAAACCATGACAAGATCAGTCTGAAAACCATGACAAGATCGATCTGAAAACCATGGCAAGATCGCTCTGAAAAAACAAGGACAAGATCGCTCTGAAAACCATGGCAAGATCGATCTGAAAACCATGACAAGATGGATCTGAAAACCATGGCAAGATCGATCTGAAAACCATGGCAAGATCGATCTGAAAAGCAAAACTGAATTGTTACAGAAGTTTGTGAATATTTCTTTGCTACGGGCTTGGAATGAAAGAGTAGGAATTCTTATTTGAATCATGGTATTCTTTTGGCATTCTGACATCATCAAATAGTCGGAATAAAGTCTGGTGACATTATTTGTTATGTCATGACCGAGTCTCAACTGCCACACTATGTTTTTCAAATTGAGCTCGTTGTGTGGTACAAACTGTATAGAAATTTAACTGAATTAATTGTTTTGTGTTTTTTGTATAGTAAAATTGAATCGAGACATTAACTGTGCAGTGAACCTGAATTTATTCCTGATGTTAAGTTCTGAAATCAATTATCAGATTTTATTTCCCTCGTTTCAATTCAGTTGTTATTCTAATGATTTTTTATTTTTTTTATAATATTTGAAAGAGGTCAGGTTGTTCTGTTAAACATGTTGTAGAAGGTGTTCAGGTTTTCTTCTGTTTTCAAAATACAGTTTGACTTTTAAAGGGTAATTTGTATGTTGATTTTATTGATATATTATGGTTTGGATGTTATACCACATCTGATGGTCCAGTACATGGGTTTTCATTTTTGATATCACAGATTTCTTGTTGTCAGGGATAAATAATTAAATCACGATTCTGTTTACACGATATCACACAATTTGATTAGATAACAGCAGTCACGTGAATTCGGTTTATATCTGTGTAAACGGAATGTAAATATAAGCTCCACCCCTTAACGGACTACTTTTATCATTGAGTTTGATTGACGTGGCCATTACACGGCCATGTTCTTTCGAACATCAACAGAGCCGAAATCGACACATCACTGATTGTTAAAGTATTTTCTAAATTCCCTCAAATGTGCTCCCTCCAATTTCCAACAATATCAATAACTGAAAAAAATGTTCAGGTCATTCCTTAAATGTTTGACAAGGTGTCTAGTTGTTCAGATCAAACTGTAGTGTGAATATTGTAATATGACCTATGTTGTATGGCTGCAACTGCATGACATGGCTTCTCTTAATGCGTATCATCAAAACAAATGAGGCTCCTGATTGGGGCAAAGAGACAAACAATGCTATGCAGTGTACAATTAGGTACATTGTGTAAAGACAATTTCTGAAAAGCAGGATGTAAAACTCCATTTCGTTTGTTGTAATGATTATCAAAAACAATGCTTTGCAGTGTGCAATTAGGGAAATTTTGCTAAAACAAGCGTTATCCTTGTCTTTTTCAATTTCTGAAAACAGGATGTAAAACTCGTTTTATTTTTTTATTCAAGACAATGCTTTAACGATGCCTTCAAAGAAAGAAAACTTAACTTTTTCTTTTTCAATTTCTGGAAAGTAGGATGTAAAACTCCAGTTTCATTCCTTGTAAAGATTATTAATTATATAATCATAAGTGTTGGTATAACTTGTCATAGTTTATTATTCTGATGTAAAATCGATATTGTATCTCAGCCTTATTTTCCTTTCTTTACACATCACCAATTTTCTTCTCATAAAACATCCACATATTTATACCAAGGTATTATGTTCACATCTCGGGGGGCGAATTCAAAAAATAAACATTAGCATTTAGTTTTGATTAGAATGTATGATATTTTATAATATTATGTATGATATAAGATTATAAGATAAAACTAAATGTTATGGCAACAAATTTTTGATAATGGATATTGGATTGTCACTTACTTATAATTGATATACTTCCTCATGTGAATAGTTCATTAGCTGCTACCAATATTTCCCCAATATGTTGTTTTGTATCTTGGGTTTTGTTTTGTGGTTGGGATCTTTAGTACGTTCAGTGGCTCAACTATCATAGGGAATAGTTGTACCAAGTCCATGGGCCCCAACCCTTAGAGATACCACAAATAATTTGCCATCAGGAGACGAAACTTGTTCATTTTCTGAAGTTTTCTGAAGCTGATATTCAACCTCCCACATCTTCAAAACCCTGAGAATTTAAATCATATTAAGTTTTCAATCTTCAAAATAATTCCTGTAATATTTTAAAATAAAACACAATACAGGAATAATAGAATAGAATCCTTATCAAACTACAGTGAAAATTTCATTTCAATTGTTTTGATTCTGGAGAAAATTTCCATAATATTTAAAATAAAAACAAATTGTATGAAGAATAGGATTGGAGAGAAAAAAAAGAATGTAACTGAAGTGAAAATTTCCTGTGAATTTTAAAGTACAAATCAATAAATCCTTTGATAAGATCTCATCAGTTTATCAGGTTGTGTTGTGTTGTGTTGTGTTGTGTTGTGGTGTTGTTGTGTAGTTGTGTTGTGTTGTGTAGTTGTGTTGTGTTGTGTTGTGTTGCGTTGTGTAGTTGTGTTGTGTTGTGGTGTTGTGTTGTGTTGTGTTGTGTTGTTTTGTTGTGTTGTTGAGTTGTGTTGTGTTGTGTGTAGATTCACTAGAGAAGTAACTATTATATAGCAATAAACAACAGATAGATATATTGACTGACAATTTGTTGAAGTTTGAATTCACCTAATAATCCAATATGTAGAGATAATTAGTTGACATGGGTTAGTGTGATATGTCATGATGCCTTCTATATTGATCAACCATTTCTCACATTCTCATCATACATAAAGATATCATGCAATTGTGAATTTGTCAAGTTGTCTTAAAAGTCCAGTGCCTTTCAGAGAGTCTACATAGCTAATAATGTTTATTTGGTATTTAGGTTTGTCAACTTGACATCTCTTTCAGAGAGTCCACATAGCTAATAATGTTTATTTGGTATTTAGGTTTGTCAACTTGACATCTCTTTCAGAGAGTCCACATAGCTAATAATGTTTATTTGGTATTTAGGTTTGTCAACTTGACCTCCCTTTCAGAGAGTCCACAAAGCTAATAATGTTTATTTGGTATTTGGTTTGTCAACTTGACATCTCTTTCAGAGAGTCCACATAGCTAATAATGTTTATTTGGTATTTAGGTTTGTCAACTTGACATCTCTTTCAGAGAGTCCACATAGCTAATAATGTTTATTTGGTATTTGGTTTGTCAACTTGATATCCCTTTCAGAGAGTCCACATAGCTAATAATGTTTATTTGGTATTTAGGTTTTTCAAATTGACCTCCCTTTCAGAGAGTCCACATAGCTAATAATGTTTATTTGGTATTTAGGTTTTTCAAATTGACCTCCCTTTCAGAGAGTCCACATAGCTAATAATGTTTATTTGGTATTTAGGTTTATCAACTTGAGAGTCAATGTAGCTATCATTATTTAATAGTTGAACTGTATCTCTGTCAAAGATTTAAACGATGAAGTCCTTTAAAATATTAATTTTAGAGTAAATCTTGTCAACAATTAAATTGAAATTTTTTTGATATTTTCCAGGTAAAGTGTATGTACATTGTCAGATGGGAGTGAGCCGTTCAGCAACGATTGTTATCGCGTATTTGATGGCCAAGTGTGGAATGGATCTGATGCATGCTACTCGCCACTGCCGGCACCGCCGTGAAATCTTCCCCAACTCAGGCTTCCTCAAGCAACTCTGTGATCTCAATAAAAATATTTACGGCGAATAAACAGCACGGGTTGAGGTTTTTATACAATTAAATACTTTACTTTGATTTATTTTATGGCAATTTTGCAAAAAATGTTTGAAGTGGATTTTACTGTTGTCAGTAACTTTTTTTTATCTTCAGCTTGTTGTTAAAAACTTGATGACTTTTAAATAATTTGGGCCGTAATCGTTCCTACATCAGGGCGAATGTCTCATGCTGAAATTTCGCAATAAAAGGAAATTTTGTTTAAAAACTTGAAAATATAAATGTAATATCTGCTAAATACATGGTTTAATTGATGTCTATGATACAGATAGTTAGTTTACTATTTGAAAGTGTTTGAATGAAAGACATTACTGAATTCATAGAACAGTATTTATAACGCACAATATTAACAAATCTGATTGATTCAAAAAAGGTTTTCTAGTCTTAGATGTTTATCAGGGAAACTTATAGTTTCAGTTTATTACCCATAGAACGCAGGCCCGTAACCAGCCCAATGTGCCAAGGTTGAGCAAAAGCTGATAGAGACTGATTTCAGCTGTATTTGAGAATTTGTTCTAATTTTGGGAGGGGGGGGGGGGGAAATATATCAACTGCCCCCCTGTCCCCCCAAGTTACGGGCCTGACAGAACGTCTGTTGTTCCTGTAGGCCAAATACCAGATTAGCTGATATAAGACAATCAGAGGAGTGTAAATAGAAGCTATAACTATCCCAGTAACACATACACAATCTAGAAAACCTCTTCTGACTCACTGTAATTATCTTCAGGAATGAATAAAGGACGACCTTTTCAAAATCTTGCAAATAAATTACTTGGCAATCAAATAACTACATAGGTTAAAGAAGACTATAATATATAGAGTGTAAAGGTTGATTATTTGAAGTGATTGATTTGTTGTTTCTATTCTATTGTTTTTTTCAATCAAAGGGAACTTTGAATCAAATTGATTGAATTTTAATATTTAATTTTATTATTGTTGATTTATATCAGGATTGTATCAATCAGAAATGGAGTTTTACATCCTATTATTCCAGGGTTGATTGATTAGTGAGCTTACCTCTGAATGAGGTAGTTTGGATGAGACAATAAACCGAGGCCCCGTGTGCTACAGGTTGTACACATTAAAGATCCCTCAATAGTTGGAGATTGAAAAAGAGCAGGCTAATGCCGCTGTCCTGGCAGAATTTCCCTCATTGCACCCTGCATGGCATTGCTTGTCTTCATTAGCTCACATGGTGCAGAATGTAGGACGTAAAACTCCATTCATTTCATTATTTTTTGAATGAGTATAATTCAGTCTATTACTGCACAGGTAGGCTAACTATCAATCAACAGTCTTATAAATTAAGACAATGTAAACAGGATTATTTCAAATCCTGGCCACTGTTTCTTATAAAATCTCAGTATTAATGTGGTAAGTATGATAAATCTCAATGTAAAGTCAACACTTACGATAAATTCTTCTTGAGATTTTTAGAGAAACTGGGACCATGTTTATTTTCAAACTTCAGCAGCACCTGATATGACTCTGTTACAGGTAAATAATAACTGGCAGGGGTCTTATTCTCTAAAACTTAAATGAGATAAAATCCAGATTTTAAGAAATACAGTAATCTGATTGGATAACACAACTTAATTTAAAATGATTGACCAATCAGATGACTGAAACACTAAAATCATCTTAACTTATGTTTTTAAGAACAAAGCCCTGGGTTTGATTTGACTAGATACTTGGGTTAGGGTTAGTTTTTAAGGATAAAGCCCTGGGTTTGATTTGACTAGATACTTGTGTGTTTAACTTTCAATTCTTAGATTTGTCATTTTAAATTTTTGGATGTTCTCTTTGCCGTTTTTGTCATTTTTATACAGTGAATGAAGCCCTGTACACTATTTTAAACTATAGAAATCTGATGGCTGATTTGTCGTATTTTAATTTCTATAAAATATTTATCGTGTATATTTTTTAAACTTGGAAAATATCCAGCTCTATTGTAATATTTTACATCATGGCAGCTTTCCTTGTGATATTTTCAACTTATAACAACAGAATTAACGATGATTAACAAAGATATTTCTGTACATCCTGGGTCTCGGACAATATGACATATTTATGAGTAGCTTTCTATTAAGACATACAATAACTAAAAGAATGGACTGCTCTAATATTTGAATTGGATCAGTATGTGTAAATATCTTTGCTGATTTTACCTAAATATATAGAAGACCGCGAGTTCACGATAGACCAAAATATTTGGGTTGATTATAATATAGATATACAATATCAACCAGTTTTAGAGCCTTCATTTCAATCTTCTATTTTCAAGAGATAGTAGAAGTTATACCATCATATTAAAATACAATCTGGAAGTTTCATTTCTTGGTTTCTTGTTATCCATGATTCGACAAAATTATTATGTAACCTGAAGAAAAAACAAAATCCTATACATCTGGATTTTGATGATTTATTAGTTTTGAAGGTTATAAGAAATGGCTGTATTTATTTGTTTTAAATATAAATCAGCACATTATTTTGTGCCTTAAAGAGTTATCCCTCTTGAATCTTGAACAATAATCATAATGAAATAGCCAACACAATCAATCTACGATCTACAACAGGGCCGTCTGTTTTCTGTTAATATTTATCTACGACAGAAGGTTCTGTTTGCTATCAATATTTATCCACGACAGAGCCTTCTGTTTTCTGTTAATCTGTTTTTTCAATGTTTATACCATTTCCATGGATTACCTAATATACTATTCGATAATTTCAAATAATGCAATTAAAGCTTAAAGCTGAGATTTTATATATATTTTCTGAGGAAATGGCAAAAATCTATGTTTGTTTTGGATATAAAACCTTCACCAGGAATCAGGACAGCTGTTTTGTCTTATCATTGAGTTTCTCTTACCCTTTCACCAAACTGTGCTCAAAATGTCTTCACTCATTTCATTAACGTTTAAAATTTGCATGATATTAAAATTCCAAATATTATTTTTTACATTGGCTGGCAATTTTATCAACCTAAGACAGTCCAAGGCTTTCTGTAGTATTGTAAAGTTGATATTCACAAAAAATGATTTGCAATACGCGATTCTGAAAACTATATGGTCGTATTCTATTTCTAAGACTAATGGTACAGTCAATACATTTGACTGTATGTATTTCAATACATTGTAATATTGTAATACGATGTATTTGGTATTGATGATTATTATATTCTATATGTTGTTGTTTTTTTATATTTTATTGTGTTTTGTTTTCAGAGATTTTAAATGTTGTATTGTGTTATTTTAAGATTTTACAATTTTTACAATTTAACTATTTTTAAAACTAATGGTTTTTACCATGGTGAAAGTTCTCCTGAAATATTCTTCTCTCGTTATTCTCAAATAAAACTTTTTGACAATTTATTTTGTTTCTATGATGTACAGTTCCCAGTTAGTTAACATATCTAATTATCTTAAACTTTGATACTACGACAGATAGTATTACAGAGACATCCATAGTTAACATATCTAATTATCTTAACCTTTGATACTACCAAAGATAGTATTACAGAGACATCCATAGTTAACATATGTAATTATCTTAGCCTTTGATACTACCACAGATAGTATTACAGAGACATCCTTAGTTAACATATCTAATTATCTTAACCTTTGATACTACCACAGATAGTATTACAGAGACATCCTTAGTTAACATATCTAATTATCTTAACCTTTGATACTACCACAGATAGTATTACAGAGACATCCATAGTTAACATATCTAATTATCTTAATCTTTAATACTACCACAGATAGTATTACAGAGACATCCATAGTTAACATATCTAATTATCTTAACCTTTGATACTACCACAGATAGTATTACAGAGACATCCTTAGTTAACATATCTAATTATCTTAACCTTTGATACTACCACAGATAGTATTACAGAGACATCCTTAGTTAACATATCTAATTATCTTAACCTTTGATACTACCACAGACAGTATTACAGAGACATCCTTAGTTAACATATCTAATTATCTTAACCTTTGACACTACCACAGATAGTATTACAGAGACATCCTTAGTTAACATATCCAATTATCTTAACCTTTGATACTACCACAGATAGTATTACAGAGACATCCTTAGTTAACATATCCAATTATCTTAACCTTTGATACTACCACAGATAGTATTACAGAGACATCCTTAGTTAACATATCTAATTATCTTAACCTTTGATACTACCACAGACAGTATTACAGAGACATCCTTAGTTAACATATCTAATTATCTTAACCTTAGATACTACCACAGATAGTATTACAGAGACATCCTTAGTTAACATATCTAATTATCTTAACTTTTGATACTACCACAGACAGTATTACAGAGACATCCTTAGTTAACATATCTAATTATCTTAACTTTTAACTTGCACCATGTTTTATCATAAATCTTTACTTTGTGACCAAGGTCAGTGTTTTCACGAGACTATGTTCTCATCATCATCTAACACAGAAGCACGGGCCAAGGGCAGAAGAAGAGCTCACATATATTGTTAGTCTAATGCTGGTTTTTAATTGATATCATTTGCTTTGAATTGAGGATTTTTCAAACAGACAAAGAAAAAAAAAGAAAACATAAATTTATTTACAATATATGACAATACAAGTCTATTTACAAAACAAACAATTTATTTACAACTGAATATATTTTATTATATTATTATCACAGACTAGTTTTCATGAGCAATGATATTTATAAACATCAGGGAATTATTCCAAACACACTTAAACAAAGTCTTGTTTGTACGAAATTTGTAATTCTTGTACAAGATGAGCTCAAGTCAATCAAAAACTTATACTTCTTTAATAGAATATTAAACACATAACGTTTCAACATAAATTACACATGTCATCATCAGATGAACTAATGTCATATTTGAGATGAAACGTTATGTGTTTAATATTATATTAGAGAAGTGTGTTTATTCTATAATATTTTCTTGTGTTTTTGATTTCTACTCCTCACTTCTAAATATCCTTCAAGTCTTATAACAAGCACAAACGTTTTGAATATTTGAATAAAATATATGAATATGGTCAATGCCTGTTATAAAGCTTAATAATTCAACCAACCACTGTCACTAAAATTCAAAATAGTCCAAAAAATACCCAAAACAGTTCTCTCTTACATATCACTGATAAAATTGTTAATTTCATAATCTTCTGAATTGAGATACCTTTCCAGTTTTTCATCTTGTGTTTTGAAACTGTTTGACCAGTCGCGCCATTTCTGTCATAGATTCATAAATCCCTTCCCCTGTTTTAGCACAAGCTCCCTGTATAAACCATTTCCTGTCACGGAATGACGCCATTCCTAATCTTTCTGCCACTTCTGAGGTTTTTAATGCTCCTGAAATTAGAAGAATTAGAAAACGATAAAAAAAAAATCAAAGTTTTATTAAAGTCAAAGAGGAAAAATAACCCTAAAATGTTTTCGGAAAACTATCTCTACAAGTAGACTAAACAATAACCAAGGCCAGAACTACGTCAAGGCAAATGAGGCATGCCAAAATTTGATAAAAAAGAAATTTGGTTTAAAAAATGTATATCGTTTATGTGACGTCAACAGTATCGGTTGTAATGAAAGACCTAACTGACTCTAAAGACCAGATTTTGCCTCATTGAAAAAAAAACCCTGGTTGCGGCCCTGTCAAATATTATAGTAGACCTCATTGTTAATATCTAGAAGAAGTACTGGAACTGTTTCACTAGAATCTCTACAGTAAATATCATAGAGAATCTGATAGTTAATATCTAGAAGTAAGAAGTTTTTACCAGGTAAATCTTGTTTATTAGCTAAAATAACAACAGGTACTCCTGTCATATCAGGATCTTTACAGATATTAGTCAACTCTTCTCTAGCTTCCAACATCCTGCTTTTATCAGTACTATCTACTACATAGATTAATCCTGTAATAAATCAAATATATTATAAGGTGATGCAGTCAGAAAAGATCAGACCATGTATTCTCGAAACGATCTTAGCACTAGAATGTCCTAGGTTCTTATCTTCTAACATTGATTCTAGGATATCCTAGGTTCTTATCTTCTAGCATCGATTCTAGGATATACTAGGTTATCACTTCTAGCACTGATTCTAGGACATCCTAGGTTCTTATCTTCTAACATTGATTCTAGGATGTCCTAGGTTCTTATCTTCTAACATTGACTCTAGGACATCCTAGGTTCTTATCTTCTAGCATTGATTCTAGGATGTCCTAGGTTCTTATCTTCTAACATTGACTCTAGGATGTCCTAGGTTCTTATCTTCTAACATTGATTCTAGGATGTCCTAGGTTCTTATCTTCTAACATTGATTCTAAGACATCCTAGGTTCTTATCTTTTAACATTGATTCTAGGATGTCCTAGGTTCTTATTTTCTAACATTGATTCTAGGATATCCTAGCGCTAAGATCATTTCGAGAATTTGTAGCATGCATATTTCGTTTCAATACAGCTTAGATTCACAAGGATCCTGTCTACCAGCTGGGTTGTCATGAATAATGACGAGAGATGATTAATTTAAGATCACCAAACTTTGGGGCAACGTCATGTTGTATGGTAATATGGAAATTGATCAGGACAGTGGCACAAGCCTGCTCTGTTTCGATTTCCAACTGTCAAGGGATCATAACCACGCACAGTCTGTAGCACACTGGGCCTCGCTTTATTGCCCATAGGAAAGACTCAGTCCCTCTTACCTGCATCACTGACAGGGGAAACTGGAAATGAATGGATTTTTACGTCCTACTTTTCTGCACCATGTGGGCTAATGAAGACGGGACAGGGGAAACTTGGTCAAATCTAAAGTGCATAGACTATTGACTTTTTTTTCATTTTATATACTGTATTTATTTTTTATTTAAATTGATCTTAAAAAACAACATAAACAAATTACCTTGAGAATTGGCGTAATAATGTCTCCATAATTGTCGGATTTTTTCTTGTCCTCCCACATCCCAGACAGTAAAACTAACACCTTTAACAGGACTGACTGTTTCTACGTTAAAACCTATTGTTGGTATCGTACAAACTGTTTCATTTAGTTTTAATTTATACAGAACAGTAGTTTTACCTGAAATATACAAACAGAAGAAACACGAGTTATTAATTCTGATAGATTTTTTACATGCCTGGTATCAAGATAGACCGAAACATCTATCTCTATTTCATGTTATGGAAGATTACATTACAATAATTTCAATTTAATGACACATAACATATTTAACAGGAATCGAGATAGGTAACATATATACAATGTATCTGCCGTTAAGAAAGATGTTTCGAACTAGGTACCAAGTGTAAGAATCAATATATCGAACTCTCCTTACAAATAACAATAATTTCACAAGACAAATAATATATCTACGCTTGTAGAGTTATTCTAGAGCCAGGGTATCCAGAGAACAAAATATCTAAATGTAACCTACCCTGATGTACGTAGAATAAATAACATCAGGGAACGTTTCTATTCCCTATCAATTCTATCATTTACTATAAAGAAATAAAAAAGACGAACAGAACCTACCTGCAGCATCTAAACCAAGCATTAAAATTCTGGAAGGGTTATCAGCTGTAAAGGCTGATAGAGCTTCAAATATTTTAGATAAAAATATCCCCATTTTATACTCTTATGGTCCAATCTAAATTATTCCACAGCACAATCTCAAAAACTAGTAACAAACATTCACTATTTAAAAAAATATCAAGTTTTCTTTAAACTTATCCAATTATTGTCAAAAACTTTGATTAAATTGTCTAGTTCTTTAAGAGAAAATATCTGAATTGACAATTCTTTGAAGAAATATTTCTGTTTCCTATTTCTTCTGTCCTATACTGTCCACACTAAGGTTTAAGCTATAACTGGCCATTTCTCTATTTCCAGGTTTTATAAAGGCCCCCTCTGATACCTAAACTCTGCCATGTCATGTTTGGTGTTTGACAGATCTACACGTGGTCAGGCTATAAATAGAAACATAACAACAGATAATTGACAGGTTGGAAATAATGACGTCACAAATACGACTAGATATTCTTGTCTATATTTGTAGTCCAGATTAACCAACAAGAAATATACAGTTACAAATAAGACTTTACAATCGCAAATAGATAAGATTAACCAGCCTTAATTTGACTCCTTTAGAAATAAGACTTGATAATATGACCTATACTATAGTCGAGATTATCCAACAGAAGATTTATTATTACAACCACACACAGAAATCCCCAGAGCCTGTATAGACTCTGATATCCCATATATTTAATGGTACATGTCTTTCAAAAACTATAGTCTAATTCCCTCAGATGCCTCAACAGTTGTTCTTCCGTTCTGTCAGTCTACCCTGAGTCTCGGCAGGCTGGCGCCGACACTGCTAATACAGTATAATATTATAGAGACAACAAAAGAGGACCAGGTACCACTGATTGGACGTCCAAAAACATCTCTGTGCTGTTAAAACATGTTGACCATAAAAACTATTTTCTAGTGTTAGGGTGTATTGAGACGAGTCTCAATGAAAGCACTGGCCTAGGTCACAGAGCAATAGATAAGCATATTACATATGTGAAAATTAGTTAGTCATTAGTATGATTTTAGTTGAAAAGACACACACTAGTGTTAGTGATGTTTTTTAATGATTAGAGTGGTTGAAAGGTAACAAGTTACTATCCAACAGAAGGCACTGGTAGATTAAGTGATATGTTTTTCTAGTGTAAATAATATTTTTCTAGTGTAAACCATATTTTTCTAGTGTATGTGATGTTTTTCTAGTGTAAATCATATTTTTCTAGTGTAAGTGATGTTTAGTTATGTTTTTCTAGTGTAAGTGATGATTTCTAGTGTAAGTGATGATTTCTAGTGTAAGTGATGATTTCTAGTGTAAGTGATGATTTCTAGTGTAAATCATATTTTTCTAGTGTAAGTGATGATTTCTAGTGTAAGTGATGTTTTTCTAGTGTAAGTGATGATTTCTAGTGTAAGTGATGATTTCTAGTGTAAGTGATGAGTGATGATTTCTAGTGTAAGTGATGAATATAATGTGAGTCTATAAAAGTAACAACTGTTGAAGGTAAATTTTATTTCCCCACTATAATATATTGATAACAAAAGCTATATACATATATATATATATATTAAATATGACAAAGTAACGCAGTAGAACCATTTTACTGGCGTCAAAATACCAGAATAATATATCATTTATCTCACAAAGTTTAATTAGTTTTAAATAAATGATATGTTTTAATAGAATACAAAAAACATTTTCTAGTCTTGGTATGTTTACCAGTGACACTTATAGATCCTATTTACACCATTCTGATTTTGTCTGGTGTCTGTGGTTCCTGTAATTCCAATCAAAACCATAAAATACCATTCACTAGGCCAGTGCTTTGGTTGAGACTTGTCACCATTCATGGAATCATAAATATGTAATATACTGGTGTAAATAGAAGATATAAGTGTCTCTGATATATATATACAAACAATGAACACAACTTTGAAGTTTCAATGCTAAAAATTTCACAACTAAATTTTTACTGACTTCTTAATAAAATTATTAATATTTACCTAGAATATTATCAAAAATATTGATACCTTTTAATAACATTACAATAAAAAACCCTCAAGTACTAACAATCCCAAACAGAAAACAAAACTCAAATACGAACTAACAGTTTGGCAATGCATGGACATTGGTTGAAGCAAAAGAATAAATATGAGGAAGTATATTAATTATAAGTGAATAAGTATTTCATAATAAAAAGTGGTATCAGGTGTCTGGAAGAGTTAGAGTTATTAACTAACACATACTGATTAGAATATTTCAAAATATAGACTGTTATATAAACCAATTGATAATTGCACCTTATAAATATAAAATAATGCTAATTATCGGCAAGTTTCTTTCTTCGTAATAGTTTGATCATATTAAGTAAAATTATCGTTGTTAAGAAGTCACAATTTAATATTCGCTCTTACCCTCTCTTTTAACCAAAATCCTCAGAAAATAAAATTTGAATGGCATTAAAGAGATTGTAAAAAGGTGTATCAGGGACACTGATAGCATCAATTTGCACCATTCCAATTTTCAATCAGATGTCTGTGGTTCCTGCAATTCCATTTAAACTAAGCATTTGATGACGTCACTAATCGCAAAATATGCTTTATCAAATAAGGTCCTTCACAATTAGCCATCAAACGCAATATTTTAGTGGCATTTCAGAAACCACAGACATCTGATTGAAAATTGAAATGGTGTAAATTGATACAATCTGTGTCCCTGATTATATAATATCTTTATAATGTTGGCTGTGTGATATGTAGCCCTTTTTAATCCCTATACTTATTTTAATCTGCCTGTAAAGTTGATACAATCTCTTTAATCTGTAACATCTTTTTAGGTAGGTTAACTCACAGTAGGATAGCTCAGAGGGCAGCAAGTTGGACTGTTGACTGTTGGGTGATTCTCCAAACAATCTTCAAGCTAGGATATCCTAGAAACAGTGTTAGAAGTTAACACCCTAGGATATCCTAGAAACAGTGTTAGAAGTTAACACCCTAGGATATCCTAGAAACAGTGTTAAGATCCTAGAATATCCTAGCACTAATATAATTTCGACTATATGCACCCAGGTTATAAAAATAAAATACCACGAGTTTGAATAATAAAAGATAGCAATTCAGCTAGCTATTGACTGAGTTAAGACACAGTGGGATAGGTAGCAAGATGGATTGACATCGGTTAGGTTATTAGGTGCTATGAGTTCGAATCCCCTCTTCTATGGAAGATAACAATCCAACTCACTTCTGACTGAGCTTATCCATAATGGGTTAGCTTATTTGACAAATCATATACAACCTAATCTAATGTCTTCATAAAGAAATCATGAAAAAAATAATCTACAAAAAATCAAAGTCCTTGTGCCTGCTTATAACAATATTGTCAAATCATTATTTTTTTCATGAGGCTTCAATATTTATAAATATTTTACCCACATGTATACACAATCTACACAATTATTAATAATTATCAAAATAGATACTTTTAGACTCTATGGAGTTTTCAAACAAATTTGCATGGATATATATAAACGAAGCTTTAAGAGTTTTATGGATATAGACTACTATTGATATCTTTAAACACAATAAAAATAGATAAATAAATAGAAGTCTATATACATAAAATAGTTGTTTATAGAAGTGATATTTCTAAATTCAAAAAGATCAGGTTAATGCTGCAGTATTGAGATAACTTTAAGCTAACTTTTAACAATCATAAAATATATTTATTTTCACACCAGCTGTTTCACCTTTTAAATAAACATCAAACAATATTTGAATTTTAACTTAGACATAAAAAACCCTGACATTATAAAATATTTTATATGTATATTGCAGGTACAGTGCAATATTCAATACTCTGAAAGAGTCTCACAATCCATACTCATACAGTGATACTCAAAATATATAGAAACAGTGACCTAAATCTTTGAATGTTTTCACTATAATTCAGAAGCAATGTAAAGTAATGATGAAAACCTAACATTCACCCCTGGTCAGACCTGAATACTGGTACATCATATTGTGTTTCTGTGCACAGTTTATTATCTTTAAATGAGCCAGGGGTGGGTACTGGTAGTCACAAATTTACATATATCATCTTTCCTATCTATCCCAGAATTAAATTTTCATGTCAATAATCCACAATTTTAAGAATTCTTATAAAATACAATTGAAATTTTTTTTTCCACGTAACGTTGTGTAAAACGTCTTACAATAAAACCATGGGACTATGGAAACAATCACAAGCTATTTATTCAGGTGGATGTTTTAAAAACCTTCAGCTGGTTCCCTGAAAACTTATACATAAGTTTTTTTTATACCACCCTGGACGAGACAATATTCAGTTTACACTACAACAAGCTGAATCGTTTAAAACTGAATCCTGAATCCTTGGCACTAGGATATCAAGCAATCATCATACACAAAAAAATAAAAAATATTAACAACAAAACTCAAAACAGAGAGATTTTCTAGCCTTTGTATGAGTACCAGTATCAAAGAAACTTATTGCTTTATTTACACCATTAGAATATTCTTAACTTTAAATGTATATCAAAGAAACTTAAAGCTTTTGGATCATTTCATGTCGAATGTCTGTGCCATTGTCAATTCCAGTTAAATTTGTTTAGGTTATGAAGATAAATCACTATTCCAAGCTACATTATAAAGATTTTCTAGAATTACAAGAAAACAATTTGAATAGAAAAAGAATTTAAACAAAAAGTGTTCAACATACTGAAAATCAAAAAGCTAGATCATCTCTTTCTCGTAAAAACCTGTAACACGTCGCCCAGCTCTTAATAAATACAAACCCTTTACACTACACTCGGACCGGCACCCTTCCCCAAGAAAAACAGTTCAATATCTTCTAACGACTTTCCCTTTGTTTCTGGTAGAAAACGCAAAACAAAACAAACAGACAAAATACACGAAGCTCCAAATAGGAAGAAAACCATTTCATCTCCAATCAAATCTTTAAACGGAATAAATGTCATGGTAACAACAAATGCACATGACCAGTTAGTTAAAATTGCCACGGCGCTCGCTCCTCCACGGACACGAGCAGGCAATAACTCGGACATGACCAAGATAGGAATTGGTCCCCAACCTAAACCGAAACCAATGACATACAGCATGACAGAAATAAGTGCCATCCATTTATAAATAGGAGATGAAGTTGTAGACAAGCTGAAGAGATAGCCTAACATAAACAGACATGAACTCATTATCGCTCCAGAAATAACCAGCAGCTTCCGTCTGCCGGACTTGTCCATAAACATCGAGGCTGTCAGAGTTCCAAACACTTGTACCACGCCCACAGCGATAGATGCCTCATGAGCAGCTTCAGGGAATTGCATTTCAAAGATGGTAACTGAATAAAACATAATGGCGTTAATTCCACTAAACTGTTGGAAAACCATGACGAACAGAATAATCATCAGCGGTTTGAGAATTTCAGGCTTCATGAATTCCGAGCACGGCACTTTTTCCTGCACATCAATGGATTCTTCAATATCGCGGCATTCTTCTCCAACATCCATATGATTATCTCGTAACAATTTCAAAGCATTGATGGCTTCCGCTTTTTGTCCACGGCTGAGAAGCCAGTGTGGAGATTCAGGTAAGTAAAGGCAGCCAAATGCCGTTAAAGCTGCTGGTATGATTCCAACTAGCGCCAAATTCTTCCAGTCCAAAGTTGCTCCAATCAGATACACAGCCAGAATACCAATTGTAATGAAAAGTTGGGTGAAGGATCCAAGCTTTCCACGGTACGTTTTCGACGAGACCTCAGCATTGTAGACTGGCACACATACAGTGATCATTCCACTAGCAAAACCTGTCAGTAACCGTCCAATAAACATGTGCATCAGAGCCTGATGGTATGCTATGGTCAGCCAACCACACATAAAGGGGAGAGAGGTAAGTAAAATTGTTCTTTTGCGTCCAAGTTTCTCCACGCACCAACCTCCAACTGGTCCACCGAAGATTGCACCAACTGGAAGAAGAGACCCAAAAAATCCTGCATCCACTTCAGTAATTACTTGAGCCTTTATCATACTTGGAATTCCTGGAGAACTGAAACCAATGGTGTATCCGAATGAAAATGCACCGGTGCATGCGATCAATACTGCAAAAATTTGCTTTGCAGCAGAACCCTCGTATTTTGACTGCACAAGTCTGACTTTATCCGGCTCCATTTTGAACATCTACTTCAGTCTGAAAACTGTCACAGGTTTTAAAGGCGGAAATATGACAGTTTTTAATGCAAGTTTTGAAGTTGTTTGAGCAATGGCTGCGCAAGGGTTTGTAAACAATGTTATACTCGAATAACCAGTCTTGTTACACGTCTACCGGAAGTAGCATGTTGACTTCGTGCGACTTTTATAATACATTACAATTCGACAACAGACAACATTTAATTTAAATCTTTAGCGACATTAGATAACAGAACACAATTTTATGCTATACTACTCCTGAGTTTTATTGTACACAACGTTTCAACATTGTCATCATTAGGACTGGTGACATGAGGAAGTATAATTCAGGATAATTCAAGTACAGTCAAGTAACCTATTTTCGTGGATATAAGGATTCAACACCAAATTTCGTCAAGGTTAAAAAAACGAAAAAATAAAAAATTATGTCTTAGATGTTTCCTCAGATAATCTACAAAATAATTAAAATTGGTTTATTTCGATTTTCTTTCTGAATCCTTCACTTTGACCCATATTTCATGAGCAACCAACTCGGCAACGGCGGCAGAATGCGTCACCTATTTTCGTGTACAATGTTTGATCTATATATAAGTCTAGAAAAACACGTTGTATGGATACCGGGTGGTATAATTAACTTCTCTTAGTATTTATCTTTAATATCAATTCATTATAACTAGTGACAATTCCTTCAAAGAACCACGATTTAAAAAAAAAATAGAGACTGACAAAATATGATACGTAGCGTGATTTATTGCTAAAAGTCACTGAAACAACATAAGAATATGGTCCACTTTGTGTTCCATAGAAATTTCCTGCTGACACGGAATCCGCTAGTTGATCACGTGACTTCATTCGTTGGAATATATTCTAGCAGACGACACTTGGAATTCCGATTACCCCTTGGGATTATAAGGAAATTCGGCCGATAAAAAATGGTGACGTTTGGTAATAAGTGAAATCCGCCATTTTGTATTTGTCAAAGTATACATTATTACATTTTACCTTGCTTGAAACTACTGGATTCATTCTACTAGCTGATATTGTAGATAAAATCCATGTTTATCAAAACAAACTAATGCGGAGGTCGCGCAAGGTCGCTCATGTAAATTATTAATCCTTTCCCGAAATCCACGAATAATAGGTTTCCACGAAATTAGATTACTCGACTGTATAATTAACCGATTACCAGGGTTCAATCCCGTCATAGGTCGAGATAATACCTTCAGATTTTTCAACCCTGTCAGTGATGTAGGTAAGAAGGGCTAACATGGCAGAAGCGTGTAGCCGTTTGGATTGGACAATAAACCGAGTTCCCGTGTGCTATAGACTGTGCACGTTAAAGATCCTTCGACAGTTGGAAATCGAAAAAGAGCAGGCTAATGCCGCTGTCCTGGCATTGTCCGCCTTCATTAGCCCACATGAAAAGTAGGACGTAGGATTCCATTCATTTCATTTAATTTACTGATTAAATTTCAAAGATACTTTGTAAACGGATAAACTTTTAACACCTTGTCAGCTGGTTATGATTGATAAACAATTGAATATTTACAACATTTATTTTAATTGAATAACAAAAAAACGGAATGTACAATATGAAAATATTTGCTATATATTAATTGTATACGTATAGATTAATGATCGATTGACGGTCAATAACTTCACGAATTTCCGAAGCCAGGACCGTTAGGGTGAAGTTATCGAACGTCTCGAGACATAAAGATGGTTTTCCTTATTTTTTAGGGTCAATTTAAGCAAACTATTTGATTAATCACTTGGTTTTTATTTTCCTTAACAATGATGTCCAGTTTTAACTCGTCTTTTTGGAAAATTCAAGAAAACAGTTCATGATGAATGATGAATGATGATTGATAAACAGCTTTATATATTGGGGTTTCTGCAGGCTATTATATTTATCATCTATGACCTGGCGAGACTCTTCTATAAATTGTCTGGTGTTTCAATCTAATGGCATCAAAAGTTTCTTTTCACATAAAAAATATTTGATTGAACTGGACATTGATTGGTGTAATGTTAAACAACCTAGAACATTAGATACAAAACAAATTGAATTTTAATCCAACCCCACCACTCGCTATCTCTTGTAGGGGAGAGAAAGGGGGCGCTGTTCTGGTAAAGTATTGTTATGCCATTGGGACGATTTTCCGTGACAAAACTTCTAAAAAATTTGCACTTAAAAAATGTGATACCGTAAACCCTGGTTGATGGATATGAAACACCACATCTCGTAATGAATCAGTGGTTAAATGTAAAGTTACAAATTTCTTTATGCACATTTTTTCAAACAGTTACACTGTAAAAAATGCGACACACCGCAAACGACGTTTCAACAATTTACATTATCTTCATCGTCTATAAAAGTTTTCTATTACACAACTCTTCAAAAATTTACACTGCTGACAACGTTTCAACAATTTACATCACCATCTATTCCGAATCACATAAGGTTACGTTAACTTCCTGATCTTCTTGTATTCTTTGACTAATTTTGCCAGTTCTTTCATTCCTTCAAAAATACCATCCCCTGATACAGCACATGTTCCCTGAACGTACCACTTCCTGTCAGTGAATGTCCTCAAGTTTAAACCTGTTATAATATCACCAACACTCATAGAACCTGGAGATATACAAAAATATAGATAATATATTGGTTTCTTGGTTCCATGAAATGAGTTTTACGTCCTACATTTCTATACCTGTTTAGGCTACCAAGGTCTTTTAAATTCCACGCAGTGTATCTTTCACCCCCTAATATACCTAACACCTGGACAGGGATATTCACCTGCTCTATATCGATTCCCAACTGTTTAGGGATCTTTTACTTGCTCAGCCTTGCTTTTTATGAGAATTCTATTCTCATACCACCCAGCTTTCATCCCCTAATACCTAACACCAGGACAGGGATATTCACCCTAGCTCGGCCTACCTCATGGCCTCTCTCCCCCCTCCTCATTAAAATCTAGAAACATACCTGGTAGATCTTGTTTGTTAGCTAGTACCACTATTGGCACTCCTCGCATCTCGTCACTGGCACAAACTGCCGTCAGTTCTTCTCGAGATTCCTGGAGTCGTTCTCTATCAGCACTGTCCACTACATACAATAATCCTGAAAAAGGAATTGATTTTTAAGATTGTTTTTTTTTTATTAAACCTCTAGAAATAATTCAAATAAAATCACAGTTTGGGTGAAACTTGTTCGACAGCTGCCGGAAATAATATCATATTCACAATTGGTGACGTCATTAAACACTTAGTTTTAGTGGATTGGCTGGAACCACAGATCAGTGTCCCTGATACCCATACAATTTTTAGAAAACCTCTTTACAACCCCTTTAAGTATAGATTCAAACATAAGTATATATTTTATTTACCATCGGAATTTTGGAAATAGTGTCTCCACAGTGGGCGTATCTTATCCTGACCTCCGACATCCCACATAGTAAAACTAACACCTTTAACAGGACTGACTGTTTCTACGTTAAAACCTATTGTAGGTATCGTCATTACGTTTTCATTCAACTTCATTTTATACAATATTGTCGTTTTTCCTGAAAATTAAACCATTAGATTTTTAGATAATGACATAGCTAGCCAGGACATCGATAATTTTTGTTTAACGATAGATTTGCAAGTGTATTTTGTTTCGTCGATATTTTTATCTGGGAGAAAATGAAAAAGAATTTGATAAAAATATTTTTTTAAAAGTTTTGAGATGTTATGAGATAAATCAATCTACCTGCAGCGTCCAAACCAACCATCAAAATTCTTGCCGGGTCATTTTTAAACTCGGAATAAATATCTGCTAATTTTGTCCATAGAGCTCCCATTTTTAATTCTTCTCTAGTTCTTCAGATGTGATAAACCTGTTACAACTATTATTATTATACTCTTAAAATTCTTGCTTTTCTTTTGTTTTTGATTCCTGTCTGAATTTTTCCCTCCGAATTGTATTTTATATCTATATATCACTTAAAGTTGACAAAATTTATTTCTAGCCGTTAGTTTATATATTGTCCGATAATTTCACCTTCCGATTTTTTAACTTTCATTAAATTAACTGTTCGAGACTTTTATATTTTTGTTGTAGTAAATATTGGCAATCATCATGACCTTATATAGACAATATTAGAATTCTAATATTAGTAACAAATATATCAGGATTATCGCCGTGTTTTTACTCTACGTGTACGGGGTTTGTTTATTTTTGAGTTTGGATTAGCGATGATGAAATACATTCAATATAGTCCAAAACACGCTGGAGTTTGTGACGTCATGGATATTGACCAATCAATGATAAGTCCTTCTCGACCGCGATTAAACCTTGGTAAAGGGAAGTAATTCAATATCATTGTAGTCTGTAGTTATGATGTAATGGGAGATAACTCATTTAAGAGTAATTGTTTTCAGACCCAAACAAAGTCTCCATTCAGGAATACCTTGTTACAACCGAAACAGAGAAACAGTGTCTGAAACACGTAATCAATCTGACAACAGAAAAGTAACAAGGTATCAAGCCCAATTTACACTATATAAAGCAATCCAGTTGGACCCGATATTTTCATATACTTAATAATATAAATAATGACTGAAATGATTTGATTGTTTCAGGCATCAGCGAGTCAGATACTCGGACTATAAAGTTAGAAATCTCGACCCCAATTCAAATATTGATCTAACTGAAGATAAATGAAAATGAAATGAATGGAGTTTTATGTCCTACTTTTCTTCACTAACTGAAGATAAAACACATTCTAGAAATAGTAGATAGCAGAATAAAGATCTCTACTGATTGTCCTATATATGTGATAATCTCCACCAAAATATACACCACATTATGATAGTCATAATGAGATATTATTACATTTTGCCGTTTTCGGTTGTAAATTTTTTTTCGAGAATAAAACATTCGAAATGTTCAACTCATTGATGTAATGGAAGAGACAACAAGGCAACGTTTGCTACTAAATCTGCACGTTAAAATTAGAAAGTCGCGAGGCTAGTGATACTGTCCTGCCATTTCTCAGATCTACAAAATTCTTCATTGGACCAAACTGTAGTTGAAATTTAAGAAGTAAAACTCCATCTCATTTTGAACAGTTGACATTTGACTTTAAATAAGACCAAGAGTTACCTACCGTGTCACGAGGCGAAAGCAGACGACGATGAAGAATGTCAACCGAATTCGCACCAAACGATGAAATATTTTGATCGTGATGCTTTTCAGAGGGAAGATGTAGCGGGTTTTAACTTGTCTGTGCCATTCAATCGTGGAATAGGTTTTATTAATGTGGAGTAGGGAAGGGTGTAGGTTAACAGTTTCTTCGAGACTTTTGTTCAAAATGTGTGATCTCCGGACATGATAAATTATTAGGATAATACAAACTTGAGAAAAATAAATATACGACTATCAGGGACAGGAATTGTTCATTGGGAAACTAATACTGAAACACACTCCTCCTTTTTACCTATTTAGATGATGAGTAGCCAAAAAACAGAAGTGAAATATCGAGGTTAAATGAAAATTGTCTTGGATCTCCCATACCACAATGAATGACCCAGAATGTTTCAATGGTTTGCTCAAAACCCTAAATTCAAACTAGCCTGTACTACGAATATACGAACACCAGAATAGTACAGATAGATACTTGCTACAAACTCAAAGTTTGACAAACATTTAGAATTCGTGTGAACTGTTAGTTTGACGGAGCTTTGTGGGGTATTTTTATATTCTATGTGTCTATAAGAGAATGAGCAGGTCCTGGTCGTGTTTATTTTAGAGTAGATTGTGTGGACTCTGATTGATAAATATAGACGTATTGTTAGTTTTGTGATTGACCAGTGGCTAGAAGGACAGTCGACCTATATATCGTTGAAGCAAGAGGAATGTAATTCATTGAAACGTTCCGGACATTACTGGAAATATGGTTTTCTTTTAGTTGTTTACCATTTTACATATTGTGCTGTGTAATAAAACAAGATGTTATTTTACGAAGACGTACAACAGTTGTACTACTGACTAGAAAAGTTGATTTCGTTTAGCCGTAGACCATTATGCAGAGATGTGAATGTAAATTGACGAAACGTTGTAGAGTAGAAAGGTAATTATTTATTGATGGATTGAAAATTGATCCGTTTTTCGAATTGAAACAAACTCTGTGTACAATAGAATCGTATTACATCGCTGAAAGACAGTGTAAATTTTAGAAACGTTGTGTTCTATGAAATCCTTGAATTGTATAGCCTGTTCGAAACTCTACATTGTGTTACATAGTGTAGATTGTAGAAACGTCGTGTAAAGAACAATCAAGAAGACGTCAGTGTTATAGAGACTTCTACTGTAATATTTCGATATGATCAGACTGTTTCAAACCGTGGGTAAGTTGGTGATTGTTTTCTATGCGACTTTATGATTTTGTTACATTTCTGAAAACCGTTCATGTATTTATCTGGAAGGACCATGACACCAGAAAATGCTGGACAAATTACTTGACAGCCTTTATTGGTGTAAAGTTTTATCTTAACACCGAAACTTCCTGAGATATTAGAAGAGTATGAAACCTCAAGCATACAGAGAAAATTGGAGAAACATTTGAAATAAATACGTGATTTCAAATCCGTACAAGAACTTCCGTGTTCATGCAGAACTTAATGGCTAGAAGCAACTTATCGTCCATGTAGGATGTAGGTCTTACTAGTAAGAAGATTTGAAGTACTTTTCAAAGTATCAAAAAATATATAATGGCGACCTTGTATAATAGAAGTAAATAGAATGTACCCTGAGTCAACTATGAAATATTTCACCTTTTCATCTTCAAAACACTGTTAACTTTCCTGTGTTAAATATACAGTATATTGTAGGCAGCCTACTTGCCAAGTTTGTTATGGTCTCATTCTTGTTTGTAGTATCTTCGTCATTTGAATAGTTTATTAGCTGCAATCAATGTATTGTCAAACTCTGATTTTGGATTTCGAGTATCATTTTTGCGGTTCGATTTCCATACTTTCCATCCATCCATGTATCTTGTAACATTGTATGGTTGTGCCGTACATACGAGCTACCCCCGCACATAGTGGCGTGTTTGATTGTAGGGTGTGATGCTCCCAGTTGTCTATAAAAATATTTAAAGATCATATCTTGCCAAAGCGACAGGCATTTTGCTGGTGTTGCTAGGAAACCAGGTCATGCTCGCCCTTCCAGAACATCTGGGGCCACAATATGACTTGGTTTGTAAACTTGGCACCCCTTTCAGAGAGTCTACATAGTTAATAATGTTTATTTGATATTTAGGTTTGTCAACTCGGTATCCCTTTCAGAGAGTCCACATAGCTAATAATGTTTGGTGTATTTCTTAAAGTCAGGCACTGTCCAACCCACTAGACTCTAATATAATATATAAACCTTCCCCTCAATACAACTTGGTTTGTCAACTTCCGTTTCAGAGAGTCCACATATTGTGATATTGTTTAACTGATATATTTATTACAGTGTAGTTCAGCTTGTAACATATTGACTATATATTTTTAAATACTGACCCACTTCAACATATTTATTGAATATAGATTTAAATAACTTATTAAATAAAATTCAATATATGTATTATATATTATATATACAGCGAGGATATTGGTTCAATAGACATGAAAAGGATAAATATAGATGAATGTTGTAAAGAAAGAGTAGAAAAATCTTTATTTATTTATAGAATATGTATCACAATAACTTTATGTCGACACACGACGTTTCGACAAGATTCCATTGGTCGTTATCAAGTGTACAATATATATAGAATGTATTAATCTTAATTGTTTCAGAAATAAAGAGATTATTATCCATACAAATTCTATTCTATTCGTGTCCATCATGCCTATCAGACAGTATTTATAGTATCTTTTTACAGCAACATCGAGCATCAATCTCTTTAAAATACAGATCTGGATAGATTGAATCTTGATTTCATTGGTATATAATAAACCAAGTACTAACGATCCGAACTTCAAAACGAAACCCGAAACCAAAAGTAACCAAAGAACTTTTCAGATGAGGAATCCTACTCCATTTTCATGGCAAGAACCATAAATATCTGTATTTTAATCAACTTTCATCCAACACTTTTTTGAAATATCTGTATATTTCAATGGATTGTGGTTTCTATTATATTTTCTTCTCAGGAGATGAGTTTTCTATTCCCCAAGCCATAAGCTCTACAATTTTCGCCTATTAACTTTCTTTTTAATTGAATCGTAATTTAATTTATTCCTTACTACAATATTTCAAAAATCTGTCATTTAATTTACATAAAAAATTAAAAAAAAACTTTAACCTTTTTCGTGAATTAGACAATTACACATTTTTTTAAAATTTTGTTTAAAAGTTATGCATTAAATCTATTTATTGTGCTGTAACCGCCAAAACTCATTACAACATTTCAAGAATCTGTCAATTTTTCAAATCTAAACATTTAAACTTGCGACAAATTTTGATAAATATATTTTTTTTTGTGAATGATTAAATTTTAAAGTTTTATGTGGTACACTTTACAATAAAAGATTGGAATGTGTAGGATTTTACAAATAATATGTTAAGATGTACTCAACACAAACTGTGTATATTTCTAACCTCCCTTCTCGTGTCTCTCATTTACTGGTCGATAAACACTCCGTCTATCGGACAATATCATTAATACAATAGTTAAAGAAGATAGGAGACAACAGTTTACCTTGTGGTACGCCATTGTCACGCTTATTGTACTGGCAATTCCTGTCGGATTTCACGCTGGCTCACGTTCCGTCAACACGGAAGTCGGATTCCGGAGATTGATATATTGAATTAACCCTATCATGTTATCATGCCTGATTTATTAAAGGGATTGTAAAGAGGTTTTCTGAAAGTTTTATGTGTTTCTGATAGCAACAATTTAGGGCCCTGCTAAAATATCTTATTATGTGTATCGTTAACACTGATATCACCTATTTGTACCAAACTCATTTTCAGTCTGACGACTGTTCTTGTAATTCCAGTAAATCTAAATATTTTATGTTG